ATCACACACATCTTGGCTTTCCACCCCTCTCTGCCTGAGTCCTCGCTCTCTTCCCTATCTCATGTCCCTCCCATGCCCTAAACTTTGTGCCCTGGTGTGTCAGGTCATCACCAAGTTCTCAGCTTCCTTTCCTACGGTTTAAACTGTAGGGTGAGGGGTGAGAATCTCTTGCAGGAAGCTGGGTCCCCAGGCAGCATTGCAGGGTACAAAGGCAGGACATATCTCTGGGATCTGCATGGGTTGTGTGTCCTCTGCAGGCAATTTCAGGTGGTTGGCCCTGCCCAGGTGGGTCAAGAGTCCAGCTCAGCATTTCCCTTGCAGCCAGGACTCAAGGCCGCAGCTCCACATCACTGGGGCCACTGCATGTGCTGGGGAAAGTGGTGCTTAAGGACACTGGCCCCCTGATCCCCTACTTACTGTGTTATCTGTCCCGGAGGAAAAAGATGTCAACCTGGTCCCCCATGACCTCACTAGGACCTCATGAGGAAGGAGAGAAACAAATAACTCTTTGCAGGACACTATGTTGTGATATTGGAAAGTACCTAAGACTCTGGTGGCATATATGAGGGAGTGATTGCCCCCACTTGGGTGGTTCAGGAAAGAAGCTTGGCCTTGAAGGAGGAGCAAGAGTTCACCAGAAAGACAGGGTGGAAGGTCATTCCATTCCTTACCACCAGGAGGGCGAGTGCAGAGACGTGGAGGTTACAATGGCAAAGCACTATTAAGACTGGCTTCCCTTTTGTCATTCAGGTATTAACTTAAATGTAATCTCAACTTGGCTTGCTCTGATCATCTACTCCAAAAAACCCCACTCCCTTCAGCATTTGGTTTTATTTCCTTTTAAAGAATTTATCTACTATTTTTCCATTTACTTGTTTGTTGTCTAACTCCGTCCCCCCCCATGCACACTCTTTAAAATAAACTCCACAAATATAAAATTAAATTAAATTAAATTAAAAACTCCACAGGCCTGCAGACATTGTATTTTTTTCACCATCCCCAGCATTCAGAACAGTGCAAGTGAACATATATTAACAGGTGCTCAGTAAATACTGTTGGATGGATGGATGGATGGATGGATCAGTGGTTCCAGGCTACAGGTAGCGAGAAACGTGTTAGGAAGTGAGAATTCCCTCCCCAGCCTTTACCCTAAGCAACTTATGGGAATGTAACAGCTTCAGAAAAGAGGGCTCCCTAGGAAGGGGGTTGGGGGCGTCCCGGCGGCTACAGGGGTGGTGGGAGGAGTTGCCCTAGCTCCAGGGAGGCGTAGGAGAGAAGGGAACTGGCGGCAAGGAGGTGAGGGACCGCCAAACTGGTGCACTATAACTCACGCTCAACTCCAGGGTTTTTCTGCCTCGTAAGAGGTGAAGGGAGGGAGGGTCTTCGCCCCTAGGCGCCGCCTTTCCAGCCTCCCGCTAGGCCTCTTTGGACTTGTCCAAGCCTCATCCTGGGCGGTCAGCGGGTTTTGGAGGATTCCCTTGCCTGCCTGCCTCCCTCCTTTCCCTCCTTTCCTCCCCTCCTTTTTCTTCCTCCACCAGGTCTCTGCAGATTCCCCAACCCGGCGGCCCCGCAGCAGCCAAGCAGCCCCCGCCCCCTCCTGTAAGGGCGAAATTGCTAAACTTGTAGCAATAATGACCCTGCATTCAGGCCGCCGACTCCCGCTGAACGTCTCCGCGCCGCGGCCGGCCGGCCTAATCAGTGCGCCCCTCCCTGCTGCCCGCCCAGCCCCCGTCCCCCCTTGCCGCTCCCTCCCCCAGCGCACAAAAAGTGGGGAACAAAACCCCCGCGCATTTCTCCGTCCCTCTGTTGAGCAGACTGCTACACAAAGCCCCCGCTCTGAGAAGCAATGGGGAGCTCGGGGGGGACGTCAATCCCGACGCGCTGGGGTTTTTGTTCGCGCAGGGGACTTCGCCTTCCTACCACACCTTTTGTTCAGGACTCCAATAAAAAGCCATTCTTTCCGCACCTTCCCGGCCCGGAGCCGTCTTTCAGCGAGGCCCGGCCCCACAATGGCGCGGCGCTCTGAGGCCTCCCCATTCACCCGCCTTGGCACGCTCACAATCGGCCGTGTGGCAGCACAGACCTCGCACAGGCATTCTCCGCAAGTGACAAGGAGCCGCATAAAGCCGCGGCCGCCGGGGGAGAAGGGAGGGCGGCCGAGGGGGAGAACTCGGCCGCGGCGGGGCGCAGCGCCCCTGGGCGCGCTAGAGGCCCTGGCGGCGGCCGCTGAAGGAAGCGCCTTCCCGCCGCCTACAGCTGGGCCAGGGGGCGAGGTTTCCTTTTCCCTGGCGACCTTCGAGGTGGGGCAGAGTGTAAGTCTTGGTCTAACGCAGGCCCAAACACTAGCCCAAGCATCTGGGTAAAACTTCTGGGGATTACAAAGCCGGGACCTCAAAAGGCCCTGAGTCTCCGACCTGTCCTCCCACAAGAGAAAAGAGAAATTAATGAACAAAACCAAGAGGACACAGACTTGCAGCCCAGGGGCTGGCCCAGGAGAGGCCAGGCCCGCGATCGCCCAGGAAACATTGCTTTCCCTTATGCACCTTTTCATTGCCTATCCTTCTCCCCCGTTTAAAGGATCCCTCTCCACTTTGGGGAGCGAAACAAAGTCTGCAACCAACGGTTTGGAAATATTGCACCTTGTTTATTGACTCCTGTAGTGTATGGCAGCGGGTGTGTACACGGCGTGTGGATATAGTCATAGATATATTATATGTGCTGAATACAGAATATGAAACAGAAAGGAAACCTGGTAACACCTCCGGTGGGCCACCAGCTCCCGGATTTGTTCAGACCCCCTAATGTTTGATCATGCCTCGCTTGTTTATCTCGCAGAGTTCTACCCCCTGACAATCCGGAGATCCAGGCCGAGGTATCTGCTGCGGAGGGCAGGCGGTTGGGAAAAGGAAAACTGACTGTGGTGTGGCGCTCCGGGCCGCAAAAGGGGCAGAGGGGTGGGTAAGGCTTGGGGATTTCTCAAGCCACGACACCCATTTTTCTCTCCTTCATGCCTTTT